ATATATTGTAGAGTTATACAACTTTGCAGGCAGTTTAAGGAAACCCCCAGGCATGATATTAATAGGATTTTTGTTTGTACTTTAAGTAGTGAAAAATGACTGCTCCTTTAAAAATAGCACTTTTTTTTTTCACTGTTTTTCATGTCCCTCAGGGCAGTATCGGAGTCCCCATACTTCTTTTATGGACAATAACTTACATATAAGCCTTCAAAATGGGCACTTTTGAATTTACAAGTTTGAGTCTCATAGACTTGCATTGAGTTTGAAGTTCGCAGTCGAACATTCATTAGGTTCGAATGTTCGACTGCGAACCGAACACGGGGGTGTTCGGCCCATAACTACTGAGCAGGTGTACCTAATAAAGTGGTCGGTGAGTGTATTTCCTTAGTAATACTAACAGCTGGAAAAGGCTTGGGGATTAAGAAAATAATTGGTGTGATAACTGTGTAATATTTGTCTTAGCATTTTTTTTCTTTATGCAGGTCCTTTAAATTAGGAACAATATTGGCCGAATCTAGTTGATCAGGAGTTACTGTAGTTCAGTATCAATCACCAAGTGGTATATTGAGCTCAATATTTAGTAATTGTTTGCAAACAATTAAACAACAGTAAGTCATGCAAGGGCTAAAAAGTTCTGAATACCATTTTGTTGTAATGCTGTGCATATGTTTTTTTTTTTTTAAGGTTTGAAGTAGCACTTACTTTAGATAGAGAGTCCATGGATGTCTTTAGTTGCAAGCCAGAACAAAAGTTGAGTGTTTTTTAATCGTTGTTTCATAGTGTTTGTCTTATGTTATCTATGTACTGTATGAGTTTGTGTTAAAGGACATTTTTTTTTATTTGTTTTTGTTGTTTTTCTTAGTATGTATGGTCTGGGCCTTGAGATAATGGTATGGTTATAGAAATATAGCAGCTGCTAAAAATATGATGCCGCTGTTATTATTTAATTCCAGAATCCATAATGAGGCAAAAAGAGTTAAGTTTGGTAACCTGGAGAAATAAAAGCAAGCCATACTTGTACTGGTAATTGAGATATAAATTGCCTTGCCCAAAGAATAAAAGACTTGGGTTTCCTAAGCCTCTGGCAGCAAATCTGGACAGAACTTCTATTTTCCCATTCCAGTGTGTGAGGACATCAACTAGAAATGGGCACCGTAAAAGTGTGCTATGGACAGCATGACATTTATAGTGATTAGTAAAGGAGAGTAATAGAAAATATACAATCACCAGCAATGAGAATTTTGCTTGACAGTATGTGAAAGTGTAAAAACTGTCAATACTGATTGTGAAGAACTATGGTTAAATTCTTGAATCATTATGATAGTGAAGTTTAGTCTGGTTCTATCATAGTAAAGAAGAAAAGTGTATTTAACATACTTTAAGTGGTACTTGAAGGGACATTAACAAAAAGAGAGCTGGGTGTAAGTGGGAGGAAGAGGAATGATTTCCAGTGCATATATAGGCATTAAGGAACAGCTTAGCTAGTTGTCAATACTTTGATCTGTCCACATTGAGCCGATTTTTGGGTACCACTTTGATTATTTAAATAGCAGCACTGGCTGTCTTTTGCAGTAACTTATTTACTCTTTTAGTAAAACAAGATGCATAAAAGCAAGTAACAAGATTCTTTAACAAGCTGAAAAGTTTTTAATTACAATGCATTTTATTGTTGTTTTCACAATTTAGTAAAACAGGGTCAGCAAAAGGTATACAGTGACCAACTGAAGAAACATTATACAATTATTTGATATTGTCATTCAGTACAAAACATCTCTGCCCAGTAAGAGTACACTATGCTGTGGACAACCTAGAGTATTTTGGTGCCAGCTGTGTAACATATAGCTATAAAATACAAGTCACTTGTGGAACAGAAAGTAGAATTATGAAAGTATACAAATTCACTATACAAAAGTAATTAAACAGTTTATGACCCAAGACGTGCTAATTTGCTATTGAATATGATAAAATAGCAAAGGAAATAAGGTTTACATGCATGTTTTCCTTTGGGATATGTACCACTCAGTCCAAACCTGCCAGTTCTTGCTAAAAGTGGAGTGTTTTCCAGCAATAGTGGCTAACATATTTTCATATGTGTAGTGGGTGTGAAGTGTCTGTATGTTATCATTGATATTGGGGGAAGATGGTGATCTCCATATGCATAGAATAGCCAGTTTTGCTGCCAGAAATAAATGGGTTGTAATTTGTCTAAAAGGAGGAGGGATAACCTCTATACCGAGGTTCAGGATCGCTAGTGCAGGAGAGAGTGGTATAGGTAATCCAGTGAACTGGATATGAATATCAAACACTGACAGCCAAAATTTATCTAGTTTGCTGCATGACCAAAGAATGTGGTATAAGTGCCAGTCTGCTTGCATTGCCTCCAACACATTGGGGATTAGAAGAAATGAAATTTAGACAATTTATATGGGGTAAGGTACTACCTTAAGATAATTTTATGAGTAATTTCCCATAGATTAGCGCACTTAGTAGAGGTAAATGTAAATGTATACCATAGGGCTTTTTTGCCAATGCCTAGAAGAATAAGAGCTAGCGAGATCTCTTTCCCAAGCTAAGATAGGGGGCGTTTTAGTAAATAATGATTTGTCATCAAGAAAGTTGTAAATTGTCGATACCCCTCCTTTGCTGATAGTCTTGGATGTATAATAACACCCAACTATCTATGGAAGCTCATATTTAATGGGGATGTGTTTATGGGTGTAAGACGCTACACTAAGGTAGGAATAGAATTCTGAGTCAGGTAAGTGGTATTCCATTTGTAAAGAGGCAAAAGGTTTCAGAGAGGATCCTGCAAATAGATTTGATACTTGTTATATACCATGCTCTTTCCATTGTCCTAAATCTAGATCCCTCAATAATATGGAATATATAAAGATTGGAATAGGCAGTTGGACGGTTGGGGTCTGGATCTTTTTACCTATGTAAGTATTTAGTGATTTCCATGCATTCAACGTTACTATGAATGGTGGTAACAATTCCTTTGGATTATTACTAAGATGAGGGTATGCTAATAGGTACATATATAGATTTCCACCTGGGATTTGTATTTGTTTTCAAGTTCACCCCATAAAGAAGTGGGTGAATTTGGAAACCAGTGTCACAATTATGCTAAAATTTAAGCTAAATGGTAATCAGAAAGAACTATCAGCCCCAGCCCCCTGCGGACCTCGTTTTAATCAATTTAGTAAATGCACAATGTGCTTTTCTCTCCTCCCAAAGGAATCTATATAATATAGACTACAGGGTATGGAAGAATTTCTTATTTGCAGGTATAGGTACTGTGCGAAATACATACAGAATCTGAGGTAGCAACTGCATCTTAAAGGCAGCCAATCTCCCAGACCACAATAAAACATGTTTGCTTAAAGATAGTAGACCTTCTTTTACCTTGGCTTCCAAAAGTAGCTAGTTGGCTTTAAATAGTTGGCTGGGGCAAGTTGTGAGTGTATTACCTAAATAAGTAATACCTGAGTCTTTCTATAGGTAAGTGAATTTAAATTGTAATTTGTGTCTATGTTGTGGTGATATCCCCAAGTCAAGTATATGGGATTTAGTGTCATTGACTTTGTAATTTGATACCATACCAAACTCTTGTAGTAACTGTGCCACATATTATAAAGAAGATAATGGTTTAGTCAGCCTTAAAATAACATCATCTGCAAACAGGCTTATAACATGTTTGTTAGCTTTGAATTGGAAACCAGTGATATCAGGGTGATGTCTAATGCTAGAAGCCAAGGGTTCCATCATGAGATTGAAAATTAGGGGAGATAAAGGGCATCCCTGACAGGTGCTATTGGCTATTTGGAAGGGTTTTGATAAAGCTCCTGAGGTACATACTTGTGCAGATGGAAGAGTATACAAGGCCAAAATGGCTGACAGCATATGCCCCTGAAAACCGAATTTAAGAAGCACTCTTTGCAGAAACAACCAATTCACTCTATCGAACGCTTTCTCCACATCCACAGCCAGCAGCAGAGGTGTCCAATTCTTCCTCGCAAAGTGAATGATGTTGATCAACCACCTAGTGGTGTCGGAGGTCTGCCTCCCTTTGGTAAAGCCAGTTTGGTCTGGGTGAATTAGAGTGGGTAAAATATTTACCAAACAAAGCGCAAGCATTTTTGCTTAGATTTTGATGTCGCTGTTCAGGAGAGATATAGGCCTAAAGTTAGGGGGAATGTCCGGTGGCTTCCCTGATTTAGGTAATGTCACTATCAGAGCTTCCAACATCTCTGGCGGAAAGGATGTCAACAAAGCAGCTTCATCATATAGGTAATGTATCTATGACCTGGAGCACTTCAGGTAATGAGAAGGGAGAATTAAATTTTTTGAGCTGTAGGGGAGAAAGCTGCGGTAAATTTAAATTGGTTAAGAAGTTATCTATGTCATCTAGGGAAGGTTGATAGACTTGATTATCTTGACTCAAATTATAAAGGGAGCTGTAGTACTCGCTAAATACAGCTGCAATATGCTGAGGGTCAGAAACTTTGTTATGTGACTTGGGGTTGATTAGAAATGGTATTCTCATTTTAAAGTGCTGACCTTGTATTATGCGTGCTAAAACCTTACCCGCTTTATTACCGTAAGGAATAAAAGGTCATTCTCAGCTTTTTGGCATATTTCTCATAATTATTTAAGAGTGCTAACCCTAATTTGTGTCTTAATTTAGATACCGTATTTTTCGCTCCATAAGACACACTTTTTTCCCCCCAAAAAAGGGGGGAAAATGTCAGTGCGTCTTATGAAACGAATATAAAGCGGCCGGTCCGGTATTTTTGCGGCCACCATGTCAGAATACCGGGCCGGCCGCTCAGCTGTTGTCTCCTGCAGAGCCTTACCTGTTCCTCGCTCCAGCGCTGCACAGTCTTCCCGCGCTGGCTTCTGTGACAGCCGGGTGCCCACTGCGCATGTGCTGCGCTTTGTGAATGATCCGGTGTCTTCTGGGACACATGACAGGTCCCAGAAGGCGCCGGGCCATTTACAAAGCGCAGCGCTTCTCGTGCATGCGCAGTGGGCACCCGGCTGTCACAGAAGCCGGCCCGGGAAGAAGAGGGAAGGACAACTCTGCGGAAGTGGGAGCGGGTACCTGTCAAATTCAGGTACCCGCTCCCCCTCCCTCCCCAAAGGTCAGCAGTCTCTGGTCATTCCCTGCACTGTCTACAGTCTCTGGTCATTCCCTGCACTGTCTGCAGTCTCTGGTCATTCCCTGCACTGTCTGCAGTCTCTGGTCATTCCCTGCACTGTGTCCGCAGTCTCTGGTCATCCCCTGCACTGTGTCCGCAGTCTCTGGTCATCTCCTGCACTGTGTCCGCAGTCTCTGGTCATCTCCTGTACTATGTCCGCAGTCTCTGGTCATCCCCTGCACTGTGTCCGCAGTCTCTGACCATCTCCTGTAGTATGTCCGCAGTCTCTGGTCATCTCCTGTATTATGTCCGCAGTCTCTGGTCATCTCCTGTATTATGTCCGCAGTCTCTGGTCATCTCCTGTATTATGTCCGCAGTCTCTGGTCATCTCCTATACTGTGTCCGCAGTCTCTGGTCATCTCCTGTACTGTGTCCGCAGTCTCTGGTCATCTCCTATACTGTGTCCGCAGTCTCTGGTCATCTCCTATACTGTGTCCGCAGTCTCTGGTCATCTCCTGCACTGTGTCCGCAGTCTCTGGTCATCTCCTATACTGTGTCCGCAGTCTCTGGTCATCTCCTGCACTGTGTCCGCAGTCTCTGGTCATCCCCTGCACTGTGTCCGCAGTCTCTGGTCATCCCCTGCACTGTGTCCGCAGTCTCTGGTCATCTCCTGCACTGTGTCCGCAGTCTCTGGTCATCTCCTGTACTGTGTCCGCAGTCTCTGGTCATCTCCTGCACTGTGTCCGCAGTCTCTGGTCATCCCCTGCACTGTGTCCGCAGTCTCTGGTCATCCCCTGCACTGTGTCCGCAGTCTCTGGTCATCTCCTGCACTGTGTCCGCAGTCTCTGGTCATCTCCTGTACTGTGTCCGCAGTCTCTGGTCATCTCCTGCACTGTGTCCGCAGTCTCTGGTCATCTCCTGCACTGTGTCCGCAGTCTCTGGTCATCTCCTGCACTGTGTCCGCAGTCTCTGGTCATCCCCTGTACTGTGTCCGCAGTCTCTGGTCATCTCCTGTACTGTGTCTGCAGTCCATTGGTTCAGAATATTTTTTTTCTTGTTTTCCTCCTCTAAAACCTAGGTGCGTCTTATGGTCAGGTGCGTCTTATGGAGCGAAAAATACGGTAGTTTAGCAGTAATCTGATGACAGGGTTTAATTTTGTAAAGAGCGTATATCTGAGAGAAGGATGTCTATTTGTCGCTGTCTCTATTTTTCACCCTCACGCCCAGTTTTTAATAAAGATAACTCGAATATAAGCCTTGTGTGTATTCCATAAGATAAACGGATTGTCAGTAGAAAGAGAGTTAAGTTCGAAAAAATCAGTCAGGAGGCTCTCCAAAATATTTTTTGTTGCAGGATTTTGCTTAAGTTGTGGGTTGGCACGCCACACCATTGTGGAAGTTTTAGGATATGCTTCAGCTACCTTAAGAAGTATTGAATCATGATCCGACCATGTGATATCATTAATTTTAGCTTGACTGATTTTTTGAAGAAGCCACCTGTCTGTCAGAAATAAATCAATTCTAGTGTAAGTACAATGTCTATTAGACATAAAAGTATAATCTCTTTCATTTGCGTTTGTACAATGCCAAGCATCATATCAAGCATCATATAAATCATGAGACCGCATAAATGGTAACAGAGATGGTGTTTTGGTGGAAGTAGCTGATGTATAATCAATTTATGGATCTCGGGTGATAGTAAAGTCTCCACATAGCAGAATGGATCCTTATTGTATTTTCCTGATTTTTCGCATCAAATTATTCAGGAAGCGAACTTGGTGTGTATTTGGTGCATAAACAGCCACCAGGGTAATTTGAGTGTTATTTATATCACAAACTATAATTAGATAACACCCTGCTAGGCATGCTTGCTGTGAATTAATGTTGAAAGTTTTTATGAGTGCATCTAGGTGCCGCTTTTTTGTGAAAGTGGGTTTCTTGGACACACAAGATGTCGCAATGCATTAAGTCCGCCTCTTTACACAACAATGCTCTCTTGGCAGGATGGTTCAATCTGTGTGCATTGACAGATAAGATTTTAATAGGCATATTGAGATCTATTTAGTATGCTAATATTAATACACTGTTGGTGCGTATCGAGAGACCAACTGGTAACTGACGGCTGGTGTAAGGAAATGGTAGGTATGTGATAACCATTTGTTGTTATTTGGGTACTCATATTGAAGAGTAAGAAACTTTGTATAGCAGTCAGAGGTCTTGAGCCATAAGAAAACAAAAGTTCAATTGAACACAAAACACTTGTATTACATACCTCCTTCCCCGAACCCTTTACCCACGTGCTGGCAACCTGTAGTGGGTTACCTCAGTTTCATCAAAAGTACAACGCCATATCCTACAAGCCCTTGCACCACCACCCACACCTACTGTATACATTTCCAACGCATACCTTTGACTCACTGGCCCTGCTCTTTGCTGCTGCTCGGTAACTGAGGTTTATATATCATTGACCCTGCCAGTGCTGTGATTCCAATATGCTGAATAAGGGCTTGAGACCAGATATGCCTTTAATGTTCCTGCGCTCGCATGTTCTCATTTTTCCCCTGTTTTCTTTTCCCTGGGATGACTTACGTCTGATTCTTTGTCTATGTAGTGCTATATATCTTTTTGTTCGCTGTATGTGCATTACCTCCTATTGTATTTACCTTGTATTTCCTGTACTTATTGCATGCTCTGAGTTTATTAATAACCTTTATGGAAAAAAAAACACTTGTAATCAAGTAACACTTGTGAGAACAGAGGGTTTAAAAAAAACCCAAGAGCAGAATAATTCTGCTCAGGTATAATGGAGTGAAATCATAGGCTTGGGCTCCTATCGGCGGTGTTCGCTTTGTTGGGGCTATATGATCATCAAGTTAGGATAGTCTACAGGATAAGATGTTACAATCAAGAATTAGACACACGTTGCCAATCAGATACAATTCTATTACAGTGTGACCAAAATTATTCAACCCCCACTGAAATTGAGTGTTTTGGCCAGTTTGACATTGCTTTTGATCATTCAGTCATCTTGCTTACATTTACATTAAAGAGGCACTTGTAGGTCAGACAAATATAACATAACAGTTATAATGAAATAACCACAAATGTCTTTTCTGTGCTCACAGCATTATCAGTTTTATTCAACCCCCAAGTGACATTCAATCTTAGTACTTAGTACAGCATCCTTTTACAGTTATAACAGCTTTTAAACGTGAAGCATAGCTTGACACAAGTGTCTTGCAGCGATCTACGGGTATCTTCGCCCATTCTTCATGGGCAAAGGCCTCCAGTTCAGTCACATTCTTAGGCTTGCGCACTGCAACTGCTTTCTTTAAGTCCCACCAGAGGTTCTCAATCGGATTTAAGTCTGGTGACTGCGATGGCCACTCCAAAATGTTCCAGCCTTTCCTCTGCAACCATGCTCTAGTGGACTTGGAGGTATGCTTGGGATCATTGTCCTGTTGAAAGGTCCAACGTCTCCCAAGCCTCAGGTGTGTGTGACGGACTGCATCACGTTTCCATCCAATATCTCCTGGTACTGAAGAGAATTCATGGTACCTTGCACACGCTGAAGCTTCCCTGTACCTGCAGAAGCAAAACAGCCCCAAAGCATGATTGACCCTCCACCATGCTTCACAGTAGGCAAGGTGTTCTTTTCATCATAGGCCTTGTTCTTCCTCCTCCAAACATAGCGTTGATCCATGGGCCCAAACAGTTCTAATTTTGTTTCATCAGTCCACAGAACACTATCCCACAACTTTTGTGGTTTGTCCACATGGCTTTTGGCATACTGCAGTCGACTCTTCTTATTCTTTGGAGACAGCAAGGGGGTACGCCTGGGAGTTCTGGCACGGAGGCCTTCATTACGCAGTGTGCGTCTTATTGTCTGGGCTGAAACTTCTGTACCCACATCTGACAAATCTTTTCTCAGTTCCTCAGCAGTCACACGGGGACTTCTCTCCACTCTACGCTTCAGGTAGCGCACAGCAGTCGAAGTCAGCATCTTCTTTCTGCCACGACCAGGTAGCGTTTCAACAGTGCCCTTTGCCTTGAATTTGCGAATGATGCTTCCTAAGGTGTCTCTTGGTATGTTTAACATCTTTGCAATCTTCTTATAGCCATTGCCCTTCCTGTGAAGAGAAATCACCTCTTCTCTTGTCTTCCTGGACCATTCTCTTGCCTTCACCATGTTTGTAACCACACCAGTAAATGTCTAGAAGGAGCTGAGTATCACAGTCATTTTAAAGCTGCCTAATTGGTGCTTATTATGCTTGATTGCTGCTCGGTGACATCCACAGGTGTTTTCAATACCTGATGGAAAGCACCTGTATGAACCTCTGTTCTTCAGAGTGGTAGTCTTTAAGGGGTTGAATAATTGTGGCAATGAAGAAACCACATAAGAACCATTTACTACTGTATTACATAAACAATTGATGTCATTTTAGTTGCATTTGGGTAGTTACAACGTCCTTGTAGGATTTGATTCTGAATACAATTCCAAATGTACACTATAGTCCCTAAACCCCTTTACAGCATTGGGGGTTGAATAATTTTGGTCACAACTGTAGGACTGCTGAGAGGTAGTGTAGTGTTTTCAGTGTATCCTCCGGAATGATGTTCCAGGATTTCAATAGCTATAGACTTTTGTTGGAAGAGCTAATGATATGAGTGGAATGAATGCTATGAATGACATCTTTAGTAATTATAAGCTTTGTAGGATATCCCCACTTATACCCAAGATTGTGGCTTCGTAGAGCTTTTGTGATGTTGTTCAGATTCTTGCTGAGTAGCAATGTATGCTGTAATAGATCAGTATAAACTTGAAGTTTAGAGTAATTAGTAGAGCAATGTTCCCCCTTACGCATTAGTAACATTAAATGCTCCTTAACATGGAAAAAGTGTATGCAGAGTAAAACATCTCTGGTACAGTATATGAGAAGGTTTTGGAATGCTGTGAATCCTGTCTATCATTAATTCCAGTGGAGATAGGTCTGGCATTAGGG